ATGAGAGGATAGTTGGACTAGACATACTAGGCCGTTATTGTGCTAACAGAGTTGCTTGCCTCCCCGTTTGAGAAGGCTGGACCGGGAAGGGCAAGACATCCCACGCTTGTTGTCAAGAGATCTTCTCTTCTTGGAATGCACCCGTTTCTGCTCTGGATCGGGACTGTCCTCTGCCATTGCCAGGATCTTTCATCGCGCCAGTAAGATGACCCCAGTCTTCCTGCTGTCTCACTCAAGCCCGCCCCCCTTCTGGGAGGGGAAAGAAGCAAACCCCCGTGGGCGTTTAACTGACATGTCTCCGCAGCATAGCAAAAAAGCATACACCTCCACATTAGTCTCTACGCCTGTACCATTATCAAATCTCCGACAGAGACCAAGCGCTTTCCGAAGGCAAGGGAACCCCTCTTGACCGAGTGATTCTCTTGGATAAGATCTCGACGAGACCTAGTTTTAACAAGGTCCGCGACCACCTTTTCTCCAACCCAAGACAGTGGTTAGCATTTTTCAATCATTTCCCTTTTCTAGCTCTCCTAGATTATCTGTTTTGTCATCAACTCGCTACTATCTTTCTCGTCTGGCAGCTTAATGTCTGTTGCTAAGGATCAATCTCCATACAAGCTCTTCGAGGTGAGTCGTGAACCTAGCTAGACGTTGTTCCAACATCTTCCTGCACCAGCACGTAAGGATAGAAAGGCTTTGGCTGTTCTAATTCTTCGCCCCGTTTCTGGTCTCTGTCTATCTTCATCGTTCGCTGCATCTACCGTCCGCCATCCGATATTAGCAACGGCCGCTTGCCTCGTTGCTTGCCAGCCACGGGAGAGCACTAGACCTGGCTGGCTCGTTGACTTGTGGTGGCATAATTTGCAGGCCATGAGATTTGCGGCAATGCTAACGGGTTCTACTCACAGTTGGGACTCAACACAGATAGAACTATTATAGTTGGAGAAGACGACGGGCTCGACTCGCCAAACACTCTTGTACTGAAACACGAAGAGGCTGTTCGAGGAGCCGACGGAGGAGGTCCACGAAGGGGTTTTCTCACCATTTTAGACATGGCAACCTACAGTAAAGCCCAGCTGCCTTCGGTGCCAGGTAGGTTTCTGATTTCCTTTTCCCCAACATTTCCCGTTGTCAAGTGTCTCGGGGCGATCGTGGTTGTGGCAAAGAAAAGGTTCTAAAGAAGTGTACGGCCACTGAATCCAAGATTCTGTGAAGTCTGTTTTTTGGAAGCTACAATGGTCGCGATGAATTTTTCCATTCTGGGATGTCTTTTGAAATAAGGCTTTCTTGAGCTAACATTTGCTGTCATGAAGGTTATGACACAGCTCGATACCAAGATTCAACATACGATCAGTACCCAGCTCAAAATTTTTCTGTCCAGCAAACGGAAAAATATGCCCAGCTGAACCAGCAGTCCTTTGCATCTAACAATGCTGTCGCTCAATATATGCCTACGGGGCCTACCGTGCTGTCTTGTCAGCCAATGTCGGGCGTATTCGGAACGAAAATCTTCATGAAGATTTCCTCGCAATACGATCTGCTTTCGATTTCATCTGCAATGCCATATTTTTCAGTTAGCTTTGGATCCGAGAAGGTACCTGTTCAGGACTTCACCCGAGATGCTCAGGACACAACAGGCTTCGTGTACTCGTGCAGTGTAGACGCTCCGCAACTATTGGTCACGGGCTGCAACGGCAACAACGTGCCCTTATCATTAATTGCTGAAGGTCCATCTGGAGAAATCTCGCGGACGGGTGCAGGGTCTTTTCAATATCTTGAAGGGTCTGGGGATGACATCACGCGGACAACCAAGCTTCCCAAGCATGACACAACGGCACCTGGACCTCAAGTTGATCAGGCGAGTGCCTCGCCAAAAACAGTCGACACTCAGTTGCCTCCAGACACAGCTACAAATAGCTACGAGTATCCGTCACAGCAGAACCAGTATGCAACGGCATTTCCCCAAGGCAACAGCGACATGATTACTACTACCTACAGAAGCAACAGCTTTACGGAGCCACACTATCGACGTTCCGCTCCGTCCTGGAGCGGTTATGGCGGGCCTTTGGGGGGGAGCGCGAGAAGCTCCTTGGATCACTCTGCAATGAGTAGTGGACGGCCAAGCTTGACGCCACTCCCGATGCCTTCCTCGGCAGGTAACGGAGCTCCACAACTTATCCGCACGAGTACCATTGCCAACGGGGCAAGTGGCAATGGATCCTATCATCCCATCTCGCTCTACTCCAGCAAGGCTGTTCTCAAAATCATCGGCAAATTGGATACCATGGCCGCGCACTGGAGCGAAGAAGAATGGGAAAACCGACGCCGCATTGTCGTGTTTCGCAAGTCTCAAACAGGTTCTACTTTGACGGCCAATTTCCGAGCTGTTCCGGTCAATGAACGACCACAAAACAGCATCTGTGTCTCGTGTATCTGGTGGGCAGAGAAACAGGAATGCTACGTGACGTCGGTGGATACTATCCAACTGCTCGAGCAACTTGTTGCCGCGCCCAATCGCTTCAGCGTCGAGGAGAAGAATCGAATTCGTCGAAACTTGGAGGGCTTTCATCCACTGACAGTGTCCAAGTCGAAGCCTGACAGCGAAGAATTTTTTAAAATCATCATGGGATTTCCCAATCCCAAGCCTCGCAATATTGAAAAAGATGTCAAAGTATTTCCGTGGAAGATCCTTGAGCCAGCACTTAAAAAAATCATTGGCAAATACAGCGCCAGCCCGAGCAGCTCTCTGCCTCATAGCAGCATGATGACACCTGTGAGCACGACTCCGTATGCACCTCTGCCAACACCTCCAGGGCACGGTATGGCCTCGCAGCAAAGCCTCCCGTCTCAGCATGGTGATGCTCATAGCCAGTACTCGGTGCATCCAAACCATCATGACCCCATTCCATCACCAAGATCGCTGTCAGGATCACAGTCCACGTGGACACCATACACCACGGCGCCAGCATACGCAACATCTGCCCGCGCTCTGAGCCCTACGAACAGACATGCCAGCCCGCAGCAAGGTCACCCACATGCGCCTCCCATGCGTATCAATACAAACCCGCTGCCAGCGGTCACCACATATGATTCTCGAACAGTTTCGACTGCAGGATACAGCTCAAGTGGCTTACACACGCCTATCAGTCAACACCCGTCCTCCACAGCAACACCACCGCGTTGGGACAGCACATCTGCAAATTATTCCGACAGCTACTCGAGTCTAACCTCACACCACCAGCCCGGCCCTCCTGTGTATAGCACCGGGGCTTATGGGGATGGTGCTACTCGAGTCTAAACTGTGAATAAAATCAAAGTACGAGAGGAGGGGTCGAGTCGTTCAGTGCTTCGCTTCCATGGCGGATGTGAAATCCGCGATTTCCTTGCCCACCACAACAGGACAGATGTCGTTCGTATGCAGTCAGACGGCCTGCCTCTCAAAAACCGTTTTAAGTCAAGAGGAAGGCTTGTAGTGGCCTCGTGAGGCCGTACTCTGGAGGGTCGGACGGGAGAGTCAGGTGGTCAGATGAGGTTTGGGAATGTGAGCGGTTCGTTGTTGGCCAGCCCAGCCAATCACACCCCCATGTCACCCACCTCCGATTGCTGCAACTCGGATGTGGGGATGGCATCGCGTCACACTGGCCGGGCCAGGTGCCTATACACCCGCGTGCCGCCCCCCATTCTTTGTGTGACCAGACTAACCGAGCCAGATTCGCCGGGTCGCAACTATCTACTCGAGTTCCAAACGCCGCGACGTGCGCTTTTGCGGCTGTTAGGACTGAAGTATTCTGAACTCTCACTGTGTTTCGTCGGAGACCAACATTTTACGCTCTCGCTGCTGTTCTACGCGGATTTGGCTGTCCTGTTCTTCTACAACAATATTTTCTCCCCTGGCATATATTGTGTGTCCTCGTACCATAGGATTGGGTTTGATGTGCTACCGGAGTTTTCTGCTGTTTAGTTGTTCATCCCGCGGTCGCGTCATTACTTGTTTGACAGTCTTGACAGTCTTGGTGTGCTTGACAAGGCTCAAAGTGAGGTCAACTGTCTCACAGTTGGTTATATCCTACTTGACAATGGCGCTTTTGACTTGTACGTTGAGTCTGTTTTTTTTTTGGGAGAGAGAGAGAGGCATATATATACATACCCCCATGTTGCGAATGAGTTTTGTGTTTGTCTGGATCTTATAGTTTTGGTGGCACATGCCTTACCTGCGAGACGTGTCTGGATATTTCTGTTATGGATGTTTTTCCTCTTTTTTCATTTGTTTTTTGCCATCGGCATCAGAACGGTGCTAGCTTTATGTTATGTCACGGCAAGAGTGGGACTTGGCGGGGGTCTTTTCATACCAGGTCTGGGATAACGGGGTGGTTGAAGGTACGGTGTTGCGGAATATCATTTAAGAGCGGGAATTTGGGATACTGGCAGATTGCAATAGGGAATGCATTGTCCAGCTAAGGTCAGTCTGGGAATTGAAGGTATATGGATGATGATAATATTAAGCTGTTAATAATAATTTCTTCTACTCATGGGGTGGGTGTTCTCTTGAGCTGTGCGATGTCGACGTGGCCAGCGATGCATATGATTAAATGTTTTCTTGTACCCGACGGTTGTTCTTGCATACTTTTAGTATGTGGCACGGACTGGACTACTATACAACTACTAGGTACGTAGTAACTATTCTATATGTAGCCTTGGGTTGTAGCTCAAGGCTGTTGGGCAGGGATGGGCGTGCATTTGGCTGGTAGTACCTAGTCCTCTATTTGAAAACAGTTGTACGGGGACAACAGGGAAACGCAAAATTTCTGTATGAATCTGGCTAATTAGAGGACTAATATTATATACGAAAGGATAATTATCCACATTCTGATGACTCTCCCCGCAAGGCGAATCATATACATCCAACATGTCTCACCATCTCGTATGGTCACAACGGCTCCCATAGCATCCAGCCAGACTATATCCATTCACCAGCTACAGCACTTCCCAGCCAGAAATGCCTACTGAGCCCGAATACTCTCCCAAGTGCCGGACTTGTCCCCGTAAACATACTGCGTTGCGGCCTTCCCAGGCCCATCGCCACCGGCATAATCGGTGATGGCAACGCTCTTGTAGTAGGCGACGAACGGCTTCTTGCTCCAGTCGGCATACCCGCCAGCCCAATCGATGGTACCCTGGGCAGAGCCTTGTTTGCCGGCCACCCATGTGCCTAGCTTGATCTGCATTGGAGTTTGGGGAAACCCGGACGAGGTGTCTGCCTTGCAGTCCTTGGCGAGAAGGGTGCGGACAGGCTTGCCATCGATGGACCACACAAGCTGTGTCTTTGTCCACTCAATGGTGTATCTGTGTGCTGAGCCAGTGGGATTACTGACGTCGTGGAACTTGCCGCGGTCGTAGGTGGAAGTGTTTCCCCTGGAGAAGTAGTTTGTTTGGATACGGGCGTTGTCACTTCCGATGACTTCCCAGTCAATCTGGGGGGTATCAGCACCAACATATGTTATTTTTATTTTATTTTACTTTTTAGGAAACAATACGGGCTCGAGAGCCTACATACCTCGTCGAGATCGTCGGACTGCAGAACGACACTGGTGACGATGCCGTTCCCCGGAGCGGCTTGCATCACAACTTCGACCCTTCCAAAGAAGATGTACTTGCGCGTCTCGATAGTAGGAGCATCTCTCGACTCTTCAATCTTGAACGCGGCCCCGCTGGCGCCATGTGTGATGGTTGTGCCAGCACTGGGCGTGAATGCACCACAGGTGTCTTGGGCGAAGTCACACGATGCTTGCTGGTTGCCGAACGCAGAGTTGGGGGGGCATCCTGTCAACGCAATAGTCAGCAAACATGACACTGCTTCTCTCGGAGAATAAAAGAAAAAGAAAAGAATATCCGTCCGCGTACCGTCACGCAGCTGCGGATTGCATCTACTAAACGACTGTCCAAGGGCGACGTCTGCCGCCGCGATGGCCAGGAAAGTTGCGATGGTGCTGGAGAGCATTCTTTGTTGTTTGGCGCGGCACAGAATCGGCAGGACACTTGCTGTTGTCAAAATCAACTTCCAAGGCGACTGACGAAAAAAACACTTCACGTCAACAATAACGAAATAAACCTCCTATGCAGTGTAACAATGCAACCGCCTGTCTCAAGCTGTCACACTCGGATGGCCCATGCTTCCAGATTGCGTGCCGCTTGTCTGAGCCGCAGTGAATGACGGCTTGCTTCTGTATGTCTGTCTCTTTTATCTTGTTCCTCTTGAAATTGCGGTGTCTTGAATGAATGCCCACCAGAGCGCAGGGACATGTGGGTAAGGGAGGCGCAGTCTTCCCCCCCTTTTTATGTGTATTTTTGTTTTTTGTACGGAGTACGTACCTTTTTTTTTTTAAGATAATGTCTTTACTTTTTTTAGACGGGAGAAACGGGGTGTTGACAACGCGTGAAGGCGTGTTGTTTCTGACGTGATATGCAAGTGTACTGATCGAGAGGGTTTGGGTGTCTGGGCAAGGGTTTGAGGTGCGAGATGGACAGGGAAGATGTGTTGGGGAGGACGGTATACAGGTTAGGTCAAGACGGATGGTGTCGGGGTTGAAAATACGAGACTGTTTCATTCTGAGTAGCTTGACCAGTTGCGTCGAAGCGCATTGACGAAATGTTGATGCTGTCAACACGCTGGGTGCAGTCTACTCTTATAGGGGACAAGAGCATCGACATGTGTGCACAATGGTGAGATGGACAACTCGCATGTGTTACTGTTCCACCAAGTCGGCATGGGAAAGGCGATCAGCTCTGCGTTGCTCGAAGATAAGCGCAAGTCAATACCAGAACCTGTGCGACATTCCCAGGGACCATGATCCGCAGGCCTTGTTCAAACTTGTGATACCCCGAGCCAACCTTTACTCTTGGGAATTGTCACAGTAGTCCGTAAATTCGGCGGTACACGCACACGCAAGTTTCGATCGACGACTCTGTTCCTGCTTCTCCAAACGGACTCACAAACGTCGTACGGAGTATCCCGGAATCGATTCAACAGCAATAGTCTTCCAGCCCGGTTCGGCCGGCGCCTCGCCTCCAATTGTGCCAAAAATCCAGTCCACTACCGCGCCAAAGGAATAGTGGTTGAAACTGGTCATCTGCCCTGGGTTGACGTGCCCGTCCGCTGGAAGACTATCCCATCTCTCCCATGTCGTGGTGCAACTCTGGCGACCTGATACAGCCACGAACAGGGGCTTGTATCTGTAACAGCACGGAATAGAAGTCATCTACCGCGGCAACGGTCTGGGAGGCGGAGCGAGGGCAGGGCGTACTTAGTCTTCGCAACCAAGTCTCGTAGCGTTGCTGCCGCAGCCGACCTTTGCTTGTCGTCAGTGTATAAGTCAAGGTGAAGTGCCAGGACATGCGTCGTCTGTGTGCGCTTGTTGCATTCATCCGCAGTGGCCTCATCGCCCAGGGCAGCAGAGATGTTGGCTCGAAGCTTCGTCATGCGAGCCGATATGCGCGAGAGCACAAGATATGCATGTGTTGGTGCGACCAAGGGGTTCTACAACTACCTGGCTGATGTAATGGCAGCAATCAACTGGTTTTGTACGCCCTTTGGCAGCCTGAGGCTAGTTGTTGGCTTGAGAATGCATAGGCAAGCACGACCCAGATCCAGAGCTTGTCAGACAAAGGGTGGGGATCAGGGTTAGGGTTAGGGCTTACGATGCCGCACCAAGCGGAATACACGCCTCGACTTCCTGCATAACTGATCTACACATGTTCTTCGCAATGTTTTTCGTCTGCACCACCTTGACATGTCAATTGATAATTGATGCAATAGCATCCATGGTGCGCGATTCCCCCCAGGAACCGGCCCGCGCCGGCTCGAAAGCTCAACGGCACTAATCGGTTGGGGCACGAACGCCTCTCCACAGTTTGACAGGTCCCATTCATTCATCCCCCTAATCCCGGCGATTAATTGCTCCATGCGGAGCATCATTGATCTGAGCTCGGGGGAATGAAGGAGCTTATCGCAGCTCAACAGACCAATTGACCCCCAGCGCCGATACAAGGCGGGGGGGGGGGGGGC